TGGCTGCGATATGGGCGTTGTTGTCTGCGTCGGCGGTGCACTACAGCAAGGGGCGCTGTAGTTTGTAGTCCATTCGCGAGTGGTGCGTAGACCAGAACATAGCCGGAAGTGGCACCAGCCAAGGCATGTGTTGCATTTGACTGATGTCACATTCCGGTATATTCTGTTCTGGCACACGGAGCAGATGGTGTGGGCAACCAGTAGCTGCTGGTTGGCTCGCGCTCGCGAGTGGGACCGGCCGGTAGGTTGTGTGGGAGGGGTGTGTTGGGAGGTTTGCTGTTGCTCAGGGGAGCTTCTAGGGGCCGTGCAGGCTCTTCGGGTGCTAGGTCGCACCCGTGCATTACGCGAGTGGGTAGCCGTGGAGGCTGATTGTGCCATTTGGCTTGAGCAACAGGGAGCCACAAAGTTTGTGGTCCACTCCCGGTGAGACCTAAGGCCAGAGCAGGTTCTTAGGTGACTCCATCCGTTGCGGGAGTTGCACCTAACCGAAGTGGAGTTCGGGTGGAGTCGATTCAGGCAAACACAGCAGAAGTAAATTTCAGGTCCGGGGTTGGGCTCTACGCCCGCCCGGAGAAGAAGGATGCTGAGCAATCCGGCTGCAAGGTATTGCTCCATGGACGAATAATGATTGGTGGGTATCGCCGATCCAGACGGGGTTAGATCGCCGAAACAACAGCCCTTGGTCGGGTAAAACCCGAGTCATTCCGGTACGTAGAACCGGCTGTCACGGGAATGAGTGTGTTGATTCGTCCCTTTCGGTTTTTTCCACGAGACGGAGCTCCTAAGAAAGAGGCATAACTAACCCTGTGTTAGAAAAAGTTCCTTCCAAGGAATTGAAAATATACTATCAAAATAATAATCTGAAAATCTACAACCAAAATATTCTGGCATTCGAACCAAATGTGAAATGGTTCGCATGTTAACTACTCATTTGGAATATGATATATACGTTTTTGTTGAATCGTGGCTTAACGATAGCTTTTTTGATTGTGAAATCTTTGACTCAGACCTTTTCGACATTTTTTGCAAAGACCGTGATGCAGAGAATACGGGATGTTCTAGAGGAGGTGGTATTTTTATAGCGGCACAACGGAGATTCAGAGCGCCGCTAGTAACGCTCAACAATTCCGACTCACTCCTAGATAAGCTTTGCGTCTGGGTTCACGGCTCCTCCGGCCATGTTCTTTACATATCGTCGCCTGGGTAAAAGATTGTCCTATGTTAATTTCGGTAGGTTTTGGGAAATCGCGATTGAAGTTTGGAATACAATTTCTCAAACACGCGAAGATAGATTTTCCCCAAAATCTCTGAAAATGTTACTAGTTCACAAAACTTTTAAATTATTTAATTTTTAATGTTTATTGTTAATTAGTTTTGAGTTTATGAAGGATACTCTTTGGTAAAATTTTGTCGTAAGCGCCATTTGTCCACAATTTGGCAGCCACTTTGTATGAAATACGACAAAATGTGATCAAAATATCTACTAAAGTATCAATCTACTGTTACTCAATCAGGGCTATCACAGAATCCACCGTAGCTTCGATTTTCGTGAAACCTAGAAAGTGCTATCACAGAATCCGAATAGCAGATACACTACGAGTTTATGCTGTCGGAACAAAATTTAAAATCACTTAATCTTAAAAAAAAACGGAGAAAAGCTGCATTATTGTTAATAATAAATAAATTTATTATACTCCATATTTGTTATAGTTTGATATAATTCCATATATTTGTGTAAAAGTAGACGTCAAATATATAAGACATACATATGTACATACATATATTCATCTGCTAGACGCTATTTAATGAATGTTTTTTTGAAGCGAGGAAATAATAGTTTAACAATTTTTTAGGAAAGAAATCTAATTACTTTAATATAAATTTATTTTAAAAAATACAACTTCAAATTAATTTAAAAAAATTTTCTCTTTAAAAGAATAAAATTTAAACTAAAAAATAATAATAAAAAAATGTAAATAAAAAAAGGAAAAAAAGCTCCGCTGCCCGACGACTCAGACTCGAACTCGGATCTCTCAATTGGCAGTCTAGTGCTTTCCTCACTCGGCCATTGCGACTGCTGGGACAGCGTTAGCAAAATGGCATACATAAATATCTATTGTTTCCTTTGCACTAGCTGATCAGCATTCGAAGCTGGCAACGATATTTTCGAGTTCACTCGGAATCTGTGATAGCAATTTTTTCGTATTCGTAGCAGACATTCGAGTTCGTAGATTTTCTACGATGGATTCCGTGATAGCCCTGAATATCTCGGAAACTAAAGGAGATATACAAAAATGGAGTACACCATTTCTAAGATATTGATTAGTTTAATATGACTGCATCACTAACGAAATTTTTACTAAATTATCGAAAAAATTTTAGTTCTCGGCAACTAGAGATGTCTAAAAACTGATAACACCAATCGAAAGACCTCATTTCAAAATATATAACTGCATCTAGAACTAAAAATCGTCAAAATGGCGCTTACGACAATCTTTTACCCACGCGACGATATGTGCGTCACACATCCCGCCGAATAGTACCGAAAGCCTTTACGTCGCACATGCTGATAACATCGTATCATTGGCGTCTGATGTCGTTGGCAATAATCACATCTGTGTTCTTGGTGATTTCAATTTTAGCCGGCTGAAGTGGACTTCAAGAGGGGATTCTGCCGCTCTTAGAGCATCAAACGTGAGCTCACCAACAGAGATTTATGTATGTCGTTGATAGCTTCTTAAGTATTGGTTTACAGCAAATTAACAGTATTTTTAACCAACTAAATAGACTATTGGATCTTGTATTTATCAGTGACAATGTAAACTTCACTTTATCAGAATGTTTATCTCCCGTCTCTCCGGCTGTAATGCATCATGTTTCTCTCACTCTTGAGTTGGAGTTTTATAACTTTGATTCATTACCGGATGATCGCAGTATTAAATTTAACTATAAAGCGGGTGACTTTTCTTCCTTAAATGGTGCCGTATCAAATATAGATTGGACTTATATACTCCGCGACAGTGATGTAACCTCTTGTTACCGTATTTTTAAGACCACTGTCTACGAGCTATGCCTGCAGTACATCCCTATTCTTAAGCTGAAATTAGTCGAGAACGCAGAACGTATACTTAAACGCAGTCTGTATACGCAGAATTTTGTCGATTACTGGAGCCCTCAGTGTTGCTTGCTACACTGTTCCCACTCATCAATGCATTTTCGTAAACTTACCCTTTCAACTACAATTTTTCGTGCTATAATAGATTTTAGCTAAATATAAACTACTTAGTTTTCAACAAAAACCTTATTCAATAGTAAATTTCAAATATTTTAAACATATTTTGAATAGGAACTTATATCTTTTTTACCATCTGTAAAACTGACGAAGTGGCAACCATCTAAAGAAGGAGAAATCAGCTGACACGGAAAAATCTAAATTCCGCAGATTTCTGCGCTACGGGCTACAACTACAGAAAAATTCTGCGGTGTTGAGTTTTCATTTACATGGCGCTTTGGTAAGACAGATCGTGTCAGCTGACTCGGGTTTACGTACCGGTAGGTTTACGTTCTTGACTAATTTCAGCTTTAAGAAGGTGTACAAACTACCGTGGTAAAAAATGTAAAAATCATATGTAGCAAATTGTATAAATCATCCAACGACTCCGCGCATCTTCTTAAGTTCCGGTACTTTCTGAAAGAATTTAATTGTCTAAACAAATTTCTATACCGAAATTATATCTTAAACTTTGAAGCTAATATTATCTCGAATCCTTTCATTGATTCCCGAAAATCTTGCTCATCAATTCCAACAAATGCTTTCTACAATGGTCGTTCCGCATATTCAGCCTCCGACTCGGCAAACCCCTTCGCTGAGTTTTTTTGCGCCAACTTTGTCAACTTGCTCTCCTAGTGACTCTTCGTTGAATTTTGGTTCCCTAACCATTTCAACTGAGGACGTTATCAACGGTATTGGTGATCTTAAGCCATCTTCACAAAGCGGTGTAGATGGATTTGTAACTCAGCCAACCTGCAATCAGACCTGAGTAGAGTTCATGAATGGTGCTGAATATCAGCAAATGCTTTCATGTATCTTACAGTACACATATCAATACTTTGCATACATCATATTCTATTGCTGACTCTTACTACGATTATACGCACGAATTATTTGCAAATAACAATTTGCAAAATGGTAAAGTTTGCCGTACAAACGCTGAGTTAATTTTTTATTTGCAAATAACTAAATCACGCAAATAAGTATTGATTAGTGGTACTATTTGCAAATAAGCGCAAGACGCCGCCATTCTTAGGTTTATCTTCTTTTTCGATGGGCATCTTATTGCCCTTTTATAATCAAGACGTTGCCATTTTTAACTTTATTTTCTTTTTCGATGGTCATATTATTGCCTTTTTATGATCAGGCAATATTAAAAAAGAATTTTTCACCATCGAATAAACAGTGAGTTAGGTATTTGCAAATTATTTTTATTTGACTTGACACTTGATACTTAAACTTCCGGGTTATTTTTTTGTTTTTCGAACCGTTGAACCGAACTTCGGTTCAAAGACCAAAAAGACCGGTTTGACGAACCAATCCAAAAGTGCAAAAACGGTTCGAACCGTTTAGTACTCAATGATTTGGACATTGATTTCACACAATCAAGCCCTTCCTTACTCGCACATCTGCGAGCATTCTTCTCTGCGCCTTACTATTAGTGATGTATTTACTCTTAGCTCTTATGAACTTAATGTATTTAACATGTGTTTTAATTTTTAAATTTTGTAGTATTTAGTGTTGTGTAGTCTGTACGAATATTTTGTATTCCAAGACTGAAGTAAATAAATAAATAAAAATAAATAATTTGCTGTGTAATAATATATAAATTTTATTTGGAATGTATTTATTTATCTGTATCCAAAATTCTTTGTTATCTAGTCTGTAAGATATATGTGCATCATAGACTGAAATAAACATAATAATAATCCAATTTATTTCATTTTAGTACGGAGTACTCTGTTTGGCGCACAACAACCCTGATTTATTTAAATTGTATCTGCAGTCATTGGCATCGTCGTGCAATATTGAAGAAGCTTTGGAAAAATGTACGCAATATCCGCATAATGTGGTGTAAAATATGGAGGTTAAAAATAAAACGAATATTGCAATTCAAGTTTGCTTTTTATTTTTTTTTACATACTAGTATTAAATATCTGTCTGAGTTCAAAGTGAATATTTTGAATTGTAGACTAAAATCTGAGTTTTAGCCTATGTATTTCTTATGTCTAAGAGTAGAACTATAAAGGTGTAATCTTAATTCTAAAAGAACAAAGCATTTAAAATCCCACGGCATATTGTATTTGCATTTCAATAGCTCAATTTGTATTGAATTACTGTGCAGAGTACAGAATATTAGAGCAACAAATTTAAAACATTTAATGCGCCGCCTTATGAAATTCATTATTGGATTTTTTTGGGATTTTACTTGATACATGCATTTAATAAAATCGAGAATTTCAACTTGATTAATTACTTGAATACATATATTTGTATGATTTCAATGGTTTAAACTAAACTATTGGCATCGTGTATATTTAAAGGCACAAATTCTCACATCGCAGCTCTCACCTGCCTTTATGCCAATAAATATACTTTAAAAGATACAATTTTGAAATACTATTATTTCATAACCTTCCAGGATCCGAATACGCACATCTAACGGTCTACATAGAATCCCAATATTAATTATCCATTTTTCATAACATGTATCATAGAACGCAATGGAGTACATAGTAAATATTTGTATATTATTCCCAGTAACACGTAGTCCTTCTAATAATTCCGTTCGCAGCTACGTATGTACTTTTTATAGTTGTGTTCGAAAACACAAAAATTTCCTTTTTTTTCAAAGCTGGCTTTTGATAACGGCAAAAAAGTATCCATCACTTAAAAATTGAGAGAGCAAACATTTATTTTGGTGCAAGAGAAACGTTCATTTTGTGCTGGAAAAACTTTAGCTGGAAAAAATTATCCATCTCGAAAATATATGATCTAAAATCTTACCCAGAAGATAATTTAGGTAGGCCTTCTTAAGTAAAGCCATTCTAAGAGGCCTACCCAAGAAGGGCTGAAAAAAGTGCGAATCGAAAATTTAAAATTTTTGTATAGAAAATGATAGTAAAATTTCATGATTTTCGATTCGTACGGAAACTAGATTACGCCCCATTATTTAGCAGTACAAATAAATTTCAATAAACATTTTAAGTTGAAATAAAACATGTTTGATATAAACCGCAAGCAAAAATACTTCAAAGATGTATGATTTTTAAAACTTAAAGAAGCAACTTTAAAAGAACTCCCCCAAAAGCACTTCTGAAGTATGTCCTATAAAAGCCCTTCTGGAAGGCCTTCCATGGGTACCGAAAGAAGAAGCCCTTCAATTTGTGCCACTCCATACAAAAAAGAAAGGAGAAAGGAAAGTAGAGTGGAAGGCCTCTCGACTCTTCAGAAGGGCTTTTAACTCCTGAAATTATCTAATGGGTATGATTGCAATTTTTGCATACAAACAAAACTGAATCTTTCGAATTTTGGTATTTTATATGTATGCTTTTTGGCTGCCTGCTATGTGAATTTCTTTCCTTTTTTCTTCCATGGGCTCAGCATGAATTTGTTTGTTTACACTCACAACATAAACAAAGTCAGCTGGTATGACCTTTTCCGGTTTTGCAAGTGATGGCTAGTTTTCTGTCCGTTAACTTTTTTGGTTTTCCTCTAATTTTGTAGAGGATTTTCGCATACGCACTTGATTTCGATAGTTGGTGATGGCTAATTTTGTTATCGAACACAATTTTTGTTAGTTTATTAAGTGTCGGTTGGTTGATATTTTCTTATTGCGATGTACCGCTTTTCAAAGTATGTAGGTATGTATGTGTTTAATATACATCATCTTCCATAGAAAAATCGGATGTTTCACCTGCGTAAATTGAACTAAAATGCATACTATAATTAGTCAATTATCAAATTGGGCATTATTCAATGACTTACTTTACGGCGCGGCATGTGAAGAAGACGATACGTTTCAACTTTTTATTGTAAAAAAAGTAATTAAATGACCACAAACATCCAGGCTCTCCAAACGGATCCGAACTTAAGTCGGGATTGTAACTGTAAATGTCACAGTCAGATAGGTTAATTTCATCATCAACTGCAGTCCATAGCGGTTGACGCAAAACTTGGTACTGATCACCAGCTAATGCAGATAAATTCGAATGAACCGAATTCATCACCCACTGAAGCGAAGGCTCCTTGCTGAATTCATGAGACTGCAATGCAAAAATACAGAAATATAAAAACTAATTTGAAAAATAATGTTCGATAACTTTTTTATATAGGGAAAACTTGCAACAAAAGAATTTGCCAAAAATCAATGGTAAGTCCTAGCTACCTCAGATTTGCATTTTTATTGGACTAAAATTGAATGGGCTAAATATTGCATACTCATTTATTTCTTAAGACTAATTAAAAAGTGCAATATTTTAAAGAAAATTTTTATTTTCGAATTAAACATATATTTTTATAAAAAATTTGCGAAAAATAAAATGTTTAAAAAACTGTACATAAACCTTATTGAATGTATGTTTATATAAAGGCTGATTCACATACAACTTTCTTCACTTTGCTTGATAGTTCTTTGCTTTGACATATAAGATCGATGTAGGCATATGCATGAGTATGCTCACATAAAAAACGTTTGAAGCAAAGCAAAGCAAAACGAAGCAAAATCTTGGGCAACCCTCAACTTTTGCCCGCTTTGGCAATCAGCTGTCTACATTTGTCTATTCTTGTGCGCTTACATTTGCAATTAATGACAAAAATAGAGTAAATAGGAATTTTTATTGCTATTATTAATGCATATTATATTGCTATCTATTTTACAGATAAAAAATATAAATGTCTCGCGATTTCTGTCAGACATCCAAACATCTATAAAAATGTAAAGTTCGGTTTAAAAAAAGAATATGTATATTTAACTTTTCTATGCAATTTAATAAGAATTGGTTATAGGTAGTTCCATAATTTAAAAATTTAGGGAAAATTTTAGTTTGGCATCCCCCGCGTACAAAAAAAAGGTGGCTATAGGGGGGTAGGGGGCGTTCTCCTGATTCCAAATATATATACTTTTAGCCGCAGCAGACTTATAGTTTTTAAGTTATTTGTTGTTAAAGTTAGTAAATTGAACTAACCTCTCGGCGCTATTTCACACAACAAACACTTTATTTATGAACACACTTCGGCAAAATAGTTGCATTAAAAGCCAGCACAATGAAATGTAAACATATTTTTTAAATTTATGATGTATTTTTACTAAATTAAGTAAGTTTTAACAATTATCACGCACTTATATATGTATACGCACATTGTGAATACAGAACTGTTGATTCAACCATAGTTTCACACTGACATTANTCCCTCTATCGTTCCATACCCTTCTTAATGCCGAACTCCGGGGATGCCAAGCTAAATTGCAGCCAAAATTTATTTTCCACCGATTCTCATTTTCTAAATATTACTGAGTAAGTATGTGCACTTGTGTAAACTAAAATCAAATTTTAAACAGATTTAAAAGTTTTAAATTAAAACTATGCACAAAACTTTCAAAATTTCAACAAATTTTATTCCAAACTTCCAAAAATGTTTCTGTGTTAAATTTTTTTTAATTATGTAGTTTTGTAGCCCATTGAATTTGAGTACGAATACCGTTAATTTTTAAGATTCTTTGCCAAAGGTAGTGCGATTTTCTCCCATATAATAATAAATTGTGTTTATTATAAAAAATCCACGGTAATTCCTAGAAACTTGAATCGTGCACATTATTCTTTACAGGCGCTGTAACCGCCTAAACGATTTTGGCCGAGTCCAAAAAAGCACGCTATTCGTTTATTTTCTGTGCCAACTGAAGCCAATTGGAGATGACAAGTGACTCCACCTTGTATTTCCAACGCAGAGGAGGCCTTTCTCCTCTTCTGCTACCACCAGCGGGTTTCGAGCCGGCGGTATTCGCCGTCGCCAACGCGCATAGGGCCGTAAATCTCGCCCATTATTACACTAAAATTGAATGGGCTAAAAAAACTGTGTACTCAAAAAAATGCCCACATTGCTGCGAAAAAAGTTTAAAATATGGATGCAAATTTCTTAGTTTTTTACATAGTCTTAAACTACATTGGAAAAACAGATTTATTTTTATTAATTTACAAAATTCTATAAAATTTCTTTTAGTCGTGATAAGGTTCCCACGACGCCAAGTGTATCTATGTACATATATCAAATTCAATTTCGATTACGAAAAAAAATTGATCAATTTTTTTTACTTAGCACTTAAAGCCAATAGGAAATACAACCTAAAATAAATATACACCTGCTCAACGTTTTATAATTTGCATTGTACCTTTGCATCGGAAAAGTCATAGTCTGGCTCAAACGAAGCATTTAAAGTTGCAATCAAGTAAAAAAGTGTCTTGCGAGAGATAGTATCACAAAGTATTATCCCTTCATCTCCAGATTGGCTGTTGTTGCGATGGAAGTTTGGTGAAAGATCAGCTAAAGTTTGTGGCGGCGAAAGTGCTTGCAAGTCATGTGGACCGACACCGTGCGTGTCGGCGGTAAACCTCTTGTAGAGAGCTTTATCTGCGGCGACCATTTTGCATGAATAGCTCTCAATACGTCCAAAAATGGTACTCCCGCCTGTCTGTATTGACAAAGCGTTATTGATGGCTTCAAAGCGCGAGCTCTCTAACAACTTCATCTTGCAAAGGTGTTTGTTGCTGAGTATAACAGCTAGTTGTTTATATGGTAATTAATGTGACCGTTTCAATTATAGGATAGCGTAACTATTGAATTGTAGTTGATCCTGTAGGCTTCACGATTTATATACCGTTTTGTAATCTTTTACTATAACGATGCATATAACTTATAGGCCTAATTATGCTGACGACTCACGCAGTGACTTTGCAATGGTCTATCTAAACGCAAACTCTTATTCTCGACGGTTGGCTAGCAATTCGGACTCTGGCTGCGTTTCTCAATTGCTGATTTGTGCATACTATCATTGCCGCAATCGAATCTTCACATATGTTTGTGTTTTTAAACATCGTAGATGGATGAACAAGTAGTCTTTTTTTAATAACGCGCTTTACCTTTGTGTTATACAACTTGATGTGATCGCACTGCTTAGTAAACATTACACTTTGGGCAAAGGAAAGTCTTTGTTCTATTTATATGTATATAAGTCCACACATATAATTTTAAAATAGGATATTATATAATTGCGTTCGTTAAAGTTATGGCACACTGGACTTGTTAATTGTTCACAATGAAAACTAAACAAGCTGGTAAGCAAAAGGCCAAAATATTCAAAATGGCCGTACAATGCGCTTTGTTTGTATACTATGGGTACTGTTTGTTGCTACGGTAGATATTTAAAACTTTTCCAATACGTATTTTCCCGACCTATTAAAAACTTGCAAGCTTTTCTTCGTCCCGTTTCCACTTATTCTATAAATGTTCAAAGTCACCTGAATCACTCATTTTTGCGTATATTATTGACACGGGCATTAATAAGGAAATATACATATATATAACCACCAGTGATTTTCGCTTAATTTTTAAACTTTTTGGGCAAATTTCGCCAGAATCTCTAACTATATTTTCACTTTGTATGATTTTGCACAATTAATTTCTCTTTTTACAAGAAAAACAGTGTGGAAAATTCTTTAGGTATACGATTAATCAAATTGTTTTCACGTTACTCGTTCTTTTATACGACTACTTTTCTTAAGAATACATTATGGTTACTTCTACAAAGTATCCACCAAGTACCAAGTTTTTAAACTAGAGGACAGTTCAGGTCGAATTCCAACGAACCCATGACGAAAGACACAGGATCACTCGCGAACGAAAGAAAGAAAAAAGTAATTTTCTAGCTGTCGAAATCTCGACACCAACTTTGTTGTAAGAAGTAAACAACGAAGAAAACGAAGAAAACCGCGTAATTGGTGAACGCATGAATAATCATTTTTATTATACAAATTCTTCTATAAATCATGTCGTGTTAAATTATTCTTTACCTTATATGTACACACGTTGTCACAAGCGAAAATGACGAAATTCCAGTAAAAAGCCACCACCAAATTGTAAGCAACGTACAAATGTAAACAAACGGCTAATGTAAAAATCGCCCAACTTTTTTTCTAAATGTGATTATAACGGGCTTCTGGCTTGCTGGCACAATATAACCAGTAAACAACCTTCGGTGAATTTGGCGACTGCCTTCCTCGGGGATGAATATGCTAGGGATGAAATTATTGGTACACACGCCTTCCAAGCACGCAGGGTTGCTTTTAAGAAACAAAAAATAATTAACTCCAAATGTTTCAAAAAGTATAGTGTAAAACGAAATTTATTGAATAATTCCATATANCTGGCGTGATCTTGTATTTTTGGTTAATGCCTGACACCCATGTGCGGCAGTCTGCCGAGCAATATCTTTCAACACATTAGGGCGATTCATGAAATGTCGCAAAGTGGCATTTTTGGGGAAACTGCATTGTTGTGAATAAAGATATCTGAACGAACTATCGCAATTCAGGATTACAAATGTCACATTTTTTCAAAATACCGCGCATCAGTGAAAAATAACTTTTCCAATTATATTTGGGAACAGCCTTTACTGACATACTTTTTCTGCAAGTGTTCGATATTTGCGATAAATAAATGCGATATTTGCAACAACTTTGCTACGCTTCATTAGTCCCACTATTAGTTTATATGAAAGGAGCCAGAAAGTTACTTTTAGCTCCTTGCTCTTTCTTTAGCCCCCTTAAATATGAAATAGCCCTTTGAGTTTCCAAAAATATGTATTTAATTTTAAACATTAAATATAAATATTTCTTGCGTTTTTAACATATTTTCAACTGAAAGACTGATTGCAGTGTTGCCAGAACTTTTTGGGCCGACCGGCTAGATTGGCAAAAAAAAGNCGGCTAAAATGGCAACGCTGACTGATTGTCAGCCCTGTTCGTTCGCGTGTTGTAACAGTCGTCAATTGTCATGATCGTTACATCAACTGTTGTCATAGGTATTCACAGTCAATAGTAGTGTTCACATAGCTGTGAATTATTCAAAGTTAACCAAAACTTTGACGTTTTTGAGTTCGCGTACGCAAAAAACTTCCAAAGTAGGGGAAATTGAGAGAGTAAAGTGACATTTCATTTTGAGGGGAAGATGCTAGTTTCTGCTGGAAAACTCGCGCGAAAGCACTGTTTTAAAGCGTTGCTGAAATTGTTCAAATTTATATCTATTTTGCAACTTACAAGTAGTGTACGCTTTTTTGTACTCTTTTAGCTTCCATTTTGATTTTCACTCTTTATTACCGCCAAACAATATTATGCATACATATTTATATGCTGTCCAAATTTTACCTAGCCCTATGAGCTAGGTAAAATTCTGGCGTTAGTATTCACCACGAGAATTGACAAATTTTTAGTTTAATCCGTCAAAATTTCTTATTTTCTATCAAATGGCAACTTACTAACAATTTTTCCCTTTCAATTTTGATCAGCTTTTCAGCAATGCTAATCTACAATGGAATTAAAATAGAAAATGGTCTTCAGAAGCTAGTTAAGTTGTTCTTACGCGATATGTATTTGCATATGTAAATTTGAATTTTTCAATACATATGTAATTTCGTATGTCTGTCCAATTCACAGTCTTTAATTAACTATTTAAAAATACGTTGTTTGAAAACGAAATAAACTAAACTCAGATGATTCTACCTGTGTTTCAGATGAAAATAGAAACATTTCTATTTCATATGTACGTGCATCTGCTTTGTACAGTAGCACATCTAGTTTGTCTTTACACGATATGTTGGCATTTCCATATGTAAAAAGTGGCATGTACACATGCAAATACATATCGTGTAGGAACACCTTTAGAAACATTGTTTTCTTGAAGACGACATGTTGAGAATAAAATTGCTTCTCAAATTGAATGCAGCCTACGTATGGCTTTAAACTTTGATGATTTTTGACAAGTAACGTGTGTGAGGAAATTGAAAGGCAAACCTGATTGTGTGTCGTCAGCGTAAACAAATAAAATTTTGGAAATTCGTTCTAAAATAATTTTAAAAAGTTTCAATCTATGAATGATGAAACCAGCTCTTTCCTTAAGCAGTGTTTGCATTATTCAACTTTGCGTTCAACAATTGCGTTCAACTCAACGCAGGGTTGCACGAAAAAAATGTTGAATGGCTAAATGTTGGCTGGCGACCAACCTTGTTGAAAGCGATTAGTTGAAAGGCCATTCAACCAAAAGTTGAATGCAAAGTTGAACAATGCAAACACCTTTTTATGGCGAATATTTTGATATTTTTTCATATTTTGATATTTTTAGCCATTCAACTTTTTTTTCGTGCAACCCTGCGCTGAGTTGAACGCAAATGTTGAACGCAAAGTTGAACAATGCAAACACACTTTAACCTTGCGTTTAAATTACCGGGCCATTAATCATTCAATTTTCCCCATTCATTTTTCAATACTATCGCACTTTTTCACACACGCTTATTTATTGCTTGAATGGGCCCTTGCTTTAAATTTTTCCATTTCAATTGAGTTTAAATTTTGATAAACTTTTCAGCATTGTCATTCGAATTTTGTGAAAATAAAAAAATACTAAGCTTATGCATGCTAAAATGTTAAAATGGAAAATGGTCTTCAGAATCTAGTTATAACTACATTGTTTTCTTGAGACGTATCAACATGCCGTCTATTCCTTATCTTTTCGGACTAAAATCTGAGAAGTGTCAAAATGCAAGCGCATAAGCAAAATGCGCTCACTAAAAGAGAATAACAGGAAAAAGTAAAAGAATGCAAAAAACCAAATGTTTAGTCCAAAGAATGGCAACAACAAAACTAACGTCAAATAAGAATATAAATGTATGTACCAAACACATTCAGACAAGGACAAGCACAATAAACACTTACCATACCAATTATATTTTGCCTCCTTCCACTTTCAATTCACTTTTTTAATTTCCGTTAATTTGAATTCAGTTGAGTATGACACTTTTCAAGATTTTGCCAGCAAAAATTCTTCTGACTACTTCGGACTGAAGAGAGTTACTCTCACTGTTGCTCTCTCATTTTTGCTGTCATTTTCCAGTTAAGGAACGCTTTTTAGACTAAAACTGACTACTTCGGACTTTTTTGACTATTTCTGGGAGATAAGGAACGCAACTAATGAAATTGCTTCTCAAATTGAACGCAGCCTAACTGCCCGTCTCCACAGGATAAAGTTTATATCCTGATACATATTGTTACGATTATCCTCGAAACCTTGAGGGATTTCCCAAATATACTCGGGCTCGTATCGCTGGATTGTTAAATAAATGCTAACGATGACCAAATTGTAGTACAATTAACTTTATTGTACAACAAACAATTTACAATACTTGCTAATACAGTAAAAACACTTTACAATACTTGTTAAAGCAATAACAACGCTTTACTACTTGTTAACACAATTAAACTTATAGCTTGCTTATTCGCANAACGCAGCTGCCGTCGAAAGAAAACCAACTCGCTACTCTTCTTCTGCGTTCATGCGTTGACATTTGAAATTACGTTTGTGGATATGCTTAACAGCTGTTTTCTGTTTACAAAACAGTGAGTGGCACAACGCATGGGGTGTAACAGCAAATTATTTAACGCCGTCAACGCACAAAACGGATCAACGCTATGCCGCAGCAAACGAAAGTATGTACCTTTAGCTTTATGCAGAATATGGTCAGATGAACGGATGCCCCATGACTGGAATTTAAGTGTGCTTTGCTCAATCCCCAAGAAAGGCGACCCTGCCATTCACGCCAACTACTGCGGGATCAGCCTTCTAAGCATAGGTTACAAGGTTTTGTCGAGCGTATTGTGTGAAAGACTAAAGCCCACCGTCAATGAACTGATTGGGCCTTATCAGTGTGATTTTAGACCTGGCAAATCCACCATAGACTAAGTATTCACAAAACACCAAATCTTGGAAAAGACCCGCGAGGATTTAAAGCCGCTTTCAACAGCACTAAAAGGAGTTGCCTATACACCGCTATGTCTGAATTTGGCATCCCCCCAAATCTGATACGGCTGCGTAAAATGACGTTGAGCAATACCACCAGCTCCGTCAGAATTGGGAATGACCTCTCCAAGCCGTTCGCCACAAAACGGGGTTTCAGACAGAGCGACTCCCTCTCATGTGACTTTTTTAATCTGATGTTGGAGAAGATAATAAGGGCTGCAGAACTGAACCACTCAGGAACAATCTACTACAAGAGCGTGCAATTGCTGCCTTATGTCGATGACATCGACATCATCGGTAACAAAAACCGTGAATTCTGTTCTGCCTTTTCCAAGTTGGATAAGGAAGCAAAGTGAATAGTTCTGGTGATAAACGAGGACAAGACGAAGTATCTCCTGTGATCAAACAAACAGTCAGCACATTCGCGCCTTGGCACCCACGTCACTGTTGACAGTTGTAATTTCAAAAAGGTAGAAAATTTCGTTTACTTGGGAACCAGCATTAACATCGATAATAATGTCAGCATTGAAATCTAATATTACATTTACATTGAGCCCAAATGCGTCATTTGGGCGAGAAATCCGAAATGCGAGGCCAAATCACGCATTTCTCCATACGAATGACGCATTTCAACGCATTTAAACAAAATCACGAAACAAATGCGCTCCAATTGCCGTACAATTTTATTAAACTCACTCATAAGCGAAAGCTCCAC